AAAAAAAAAAAAAAAAAACACTTCACTTGTCACCTCTTGCCCCTTTCCACCTCCCACTTTTATCCATATACCTTTGAACTGTCAAGGCTGCTAAACATTACTGTCCTGGGACCATAATTAAGTCCACGAAGTTGCTACTTAAAGGTGAATAGTGGTTTATGTTCTGCCTCAGTAAACAACGCATCTCGGAGCTGAATAGACCTCTATGATTACATTGCCCATAGTGTACAAACTTTTGTTCTCCCTGGACTACTTAACCACTACCTTTCTTTTGTTGTGTGATTAGCCTACATCAAAGCTTTTTTTTTTTTTTTTTGAGTTGGGAGTCTCACCAAATCACAAGCTGGAATGCAGTGGTGTCATGATCTCGGCTCACTGCAACCTCCGCCTCCAGGGTTCAAGCGATTCTCCTGCCTCAGCCTCCAGAGTAGCTGGGACTACAGGCGTGTGCCACCACGCCCAGCTAATTTTTTGTATTTTTCAATAGAGACGGGGTGTCACCACCTTGGCCAGGCTAGTCTCTAACTGCTGACCTCAAGCGATCCTCCCACCTCGGCCTCCCAAAAGTGCTGGGATTACAGGCATGAGTCACCGTGCCTGGCAGCTTTTTCTTTTACACCTTCCATTAAATCAATTCTCTCACAATTTAATGTTCCCAGGATCTCTCCCTCCTGACTCCGCTAATCTGGCCGCATGGGTGGTGCATGTCTTGGGAACCTCCCTTCTTCCTCTGCTACACATCACTGAACCCCAGCCCTCACCTTCCCTGCTTCTGTCTACCCTCAGACAAAAAGACAGCAGTCGTCACAGGAGAGTAACTTGATATTCAGTACAAATGTTTATTTTTGCAATGAGAACTGCACAAAAAAAAAAAAAGAACCTTTCGTATATAAGTGAAAAGTCTATGAATTCCCTTCTACAAATATCTAAAGTGTTTAATACAGCTCTCAGATTCACTGACATAATTATTGGCCAAGCGATCCGTGCATACAGTACAGTGGGGGCTTGTACACACCTCTTACTCTGGTATAGGACTAAGATTTCTAGTACTGTGGGAAGGGTTGGGAAATGGCTGGAGAAATTAAATAGATCCCAGTTCTAATTACAACCCAGTTAGAGAGACACCCATCAGGGAGGTGTGGAGAAGGCCATGGCAGAGTTAAATCTTCAGCAGGAAGGTGCAGAGAAAACTATCCAGCTCAGCAGTTGGACCCAGCCTGGGGAAGTGTCTGAACAAAACAAGGAACAAAAATGAGGGGGTGGGATGAGATGGAAGAAACCCCAAAGAACCTAAATACGTCACACTTGAAGCGGCACAGTGGTATATGAGGAAGTGCCTGAGTGGGCAGGGACATCGAGGAAGTGGGGGGCCTCTGGCTGGATGCCTGAACCACACCCTCACAGGGAGATTTGGCAGATCCAAAGACAATAAAGGACCTTTCAGGTCAAAAAGAGGGGATGTAGGTTAATAAACAGTGCTAGAAATGTTTCAGTTTGTCTCTGCATACATATAAATTATATACTTGTATCTTACATCTTAGGGGCTCTTCTTGGCCGTCACCCGTGCCTTGTGGTTGGGGCATGTGCGTACACAGGTGGGCACACAGGCAGGGTGGCCACCTGTGGGCTTTCTGGGACAGCAATGTGCACGCGTGTGTGTATATGCATGGGGGGGTTAGGATTCTATTTCGGGGGATGTAGACTTATCTAAGAATATCTGGTTAACCCTGAGCTTAAATGAGAGGAGGAGTTAGGTTGAGGCAGGCAAGGTGGGAGAAGTGGCCCAAGACCTTTGGTGAATGGGGGGACAGGATGGAGTAGGGTGGAGGGAAGAATACTGTCTGGAGTTTCGCCAGGGTTCTGCTGGAGTACACCCTCCACCTCGGCCAGGGTCCACAAGGATGGGTACTGGGCTCTGCGTCACAGCTTCCGCTTGGGGTGGTTGGTATGAGCCTGCATGGCTCCTGCCCAGGGCAGACAGGGACAGGTCACAGGAGATGGGCTAGGTAATCCCTGGCGGTAGATCCTGTACAGAGGTGGTCTGGGGTCCAGGGGGTCCCCTGGGCCTAGCCTAGGCAATAGTTCACAAAGAAATGTCAGGGAGACGCCAGCATTAAAAAAGAGAGATGTGTTTATTCCATGATCAGTACAGACCAAATGCATATTCACCGTATGAAAGTCAAACCAGTCAGTGACTCCAGAGTTTGGCCAACACTGAGGCACCAGCGTCATGGTGTAGAGTGGGTTCTCATGGCACGCGTAACCTCACCAAGGGCTCCAATTATAAAATTAAAAAAAAAAAAAGCATGGGCAGGAGCGGCCAGCTGGTCAGGGCTGGGCGCCAGGTGGGGGAGTCTCAGTCTGTGGCGCCCCCAGGGTCTGGTGCCCACCTCATCCCTTGGCCCTTCCTCAGTAAAAAAAAAAAAAAAAAAAAAAAAACCAACAACAACAAAAAAACCCAACTCAACAGATCTGACATTAAAAAACAAAAAAGCCAACAAATGGGTGGGGGGGGAGGGGAAGGAAAAGAAATCGCAGCTTTCTGGTTTTATAATTAAAAATAGACTAATAAAGTTTGAAACTGAGTAAAATATAGGCAGATTTTTTTGTGTGTTTTGTCTTTTTTGTGGATTTTTTTGAGCTTTTTCTTTTTTTACACCAGTTTGGTGGAGTCACCAACAAACTTCAAACAAAGATATGCCAACTATGTTCACTATACAGTACAGCCACGGTCACACACTACCCACAGCGCGGTGGCAGCCGCTGCTCAATGAGGAGACGATCACACCATTTCGGAGATAAGCAGTGCCATTGTGTCTGGAGGAGAAGAGAGAATTAAAAATAAAATAGAATTCAACAAAAAATATATATAGGAAAAAAAAAAAAAAAAAAAAAAAAAACACAGGTGGGAAGGAACTGACTTTGGTTGGCGGCCTCACTCCCCGGCCGAGGGCTACCCACACAGGACAGTCGCCTCGCTCCGGATGCCATGGACACACACACCTCCACGGCACTATTCCCTTTTGCACAAGCAAACACTTACAGAGAGCGGCTCTCAATTAAAGGCTTGTGGGGGAGGGTCGGGGGGGTCTGTTCAAGGCAAAGTCAGTGCCAGCGAGGGGGTGGGCTGGCCTCGCCCGCTTCCAGCCCACGCGGGCCTGCCCTGGCCTCCTGGGAGCGGGCGGCGATTGCTAGGGTGTGGGGAAGGACTCCTGGCGGGCAGGACGTCACGAACGTCACGTTCTTGGGGACAGAAAACCAGTCACGGTGGCGGCAGCAACGATGTCCTGTGTATACTGTGTAGACATTTGGCGGAGAGAAGGGCCTCTGCCCCGCACGTGGGGATGCAGGGCTTGGGTCCAGCCGGCACTTGCTCGTAACAAGGCGTGCGCTGAGCGGACGTCCTGTGCGGGGTGGTGGGTGGCGGGACGTCTGTCCGACCGGCCGTAAGGCAGATAGGCTCTGCAATCCTCAGCTGCCCGTCAGGCCTGCCCCGGGCATAGCATGCAGGAGGGCCAGGCCCTGAGGCATCCCCTGGCCGCTGCTCCCACCTCCACCGCCGCCCCTAACACTATGGAAAGTCAATGTTTTGCCAGAAAATCAAAGTCAAAAGCCACCTAGGTGCGCTCAGAAAAGATTTTCTTCAAATATTGACAATAGATCACTCTGGAAATTCATGTCAATGGTAGCTGCCATCTGGAGGAGAAAGGAAGGAGGGAGTCAGGAGGGTGACCTAGCCACCCTGCAGCTCCAAGTCCTCACACCCACTGCCCTCCCCAGGGCTGACCCCTCACAGCGCCCATCCCGTTCACACACAGCACTCAGGCCCCTACATCTGAGCCCAGAGGACCGCACGCTGACCAGCAAGGCCTGGGCTCCCCTGCTGCCCCTCCCTGTCCAGTCTCCAGTACCCCTTTCCCAGCTCCCCCAGGAGCTAACCCTTAGGCCAGGGTCCCCACCAGGCCTCCAGACTCACGGCTTCCCGGCGTCTTCGCTCCTGCTCCCGCTTCCGGGCCAACTCCCTCTGCTGGTCCAGCATGGACTGGGGCTGGGAGCTCTGGGCCTGGGGGGTGGCAGCGGCAGCCACTGCAGCCGCTTGTTGTTGCTGCTGCTGCTGCTGCTCCTGGCGCTGCTGCTGCTGCTGCTGCTGCTCCTGGCGCCGGCGAGCCTCTTCATGGGCCCGCCGGGCCTGCTCCAGCGCATCCTCATCCTCTCGGCTCCTGGGCAGAGGGTCCCAGTCAGCCTGGGGACTGGTGTGGCCCCAGGAGTCCCCATGTCCCGCCCAGAGCCCTCGCCCACCTCATGCGCTCCTGCCGCAGCCGCTCCTTCTCCTTCTCAGCGTGCTCAGCCTGAGCCTTCAGGGCCTTCTCACGCTCCTCCTTCTCCCGAGCAGCACGGCGGAACTGCTCAAAGCTGTCGCTGGATGACTTGGCTGTGGAGGAGGGGGTTGTTGGATGCTTCTGCACTAGGCTGGCCCAGGAGCCCATGTTCTTGATTTTCAGGTCCTGCAGAACAGAGAGGTTGGGGTGGGTGAGGGGTCTGCTGTGCCTAAAGGGCATAGCAGGGGGCATGCCCAGCATGGCACCTTCCATGGCCAAGGGGCAAACGACACCCATGGACCTCCATCTCGACCTTTTTGGGTGCAACCGGAGTCTTCGGCTCCTGTTTTTGTTTGTCCTTGTCAGGGGCCCCCGGTGGCGGTGCGTTCTGCTCGGGGGGCCGGATCACAGGCCTCCCGACATCCACAGGCTTCATCTCCGGCCCTGGAACATAAACAGCCCATGGGCCCAGGCCCACGGCGACGCATGGTCCACCAGCCCCACAGCAAGCTCACGTCCAACATAGGCCTGGGGACCTGAGCCCTGGCTGTGGGCGGACAGGGCACTCACGCTGGGGCAGATGGACGGGGGCCTTGATGCTCTCCGGGTGCTTGGGGGGTTCCGGCCGCAGCGAGGGGCTGAAGGGCTCACTGCGGATGATGGGTGAGTGGATCTTCTCCTCCTTCACCACCACCAGGGGCTGGGGCTGGACCACGGAGGCTGCACGCAGCTCCTGGGATGGCACAGGCACAGCAGCTGGTGAGGTGAGCAGGTACCCCCGGCCCCGGTCCACGCCTGGCCCTGGAGACTATGGCCCAGCCCTGCCCGTTACCTGCTTCTTAGGCTGGACGTTTTGCTGGGGTGGAGACTGGTGGGTCAGGCTCTGGAACTGTGACATCTGGGGGGAATGTATCATAAGCGGGGAGGGGGCTTCGCGGAGGTGACCTAGGAGAGGGGACAAGGAATATGTCAAGGGGCTGGCTTAGAGCTGCAGGCCCTGGGCCACTTGGACCCTGACAGAATTGTCAGGAAGGAAAAGATGGGCTGGACGGAGAACCTGCACATGTCACCCAGGCCCTGGGACAAGGGTCCATCAGTCCAGCTCAAGAAAGTAAAGACCCATGCAAGAGACTGGGCCTGGTGAGGACATGACCCCTCCCCCAAAGGGCTGAGTGCCCTGTGTCCCCCTGCACGTGGGTAATAACTCAGTGTGCAGCAAGGCTTTCTGGAGCCCTGTGGCACCAGTCCTGGTGTTTGACCCTCCTGTGTGCATCAGAACCATCTGGGATGCTGTGGCAAACACAGATCCTGACACATGTGGGCTTGGCAGGGCCTGGGCCCTAATACTTTTTAACCTCACAAAGCTCAGCTTGGGTTCCTGGCCCACTTGGATGACAGCAGGGGGTGCAGGACTCACTCCTGAGGTTGGGGATGCTCAGGACCCTCCCCATGGTCCTAATTCCCCACTCAGCCTGCACGCCCCACAGAAGAGGGAAGCCTGGAATTGGCCTCCACCTGGGCCGAGTGGGGAGCAGGCAGAACAGGGCCTGGAGCTGTCTCTTTTAGGAAACAGACCAGCCTGCCACCTGCATCCAACCCAAGGCTGGGAAGGATCCAGTAGCCACAGGGACTACTGGGCTCTGAATCACAGTAAGCCAGCACCTCAGGACTGCGCAGCTGGAGGAGCTGACTCCTGCCCATTCAGCACGTGGCCTCTCTCTGTTGGAATCCCTGCAGGCAAGGGGCCTCACCGCCCATTGACTAGCTCCAGCTCGGGACAAGCCACACTGTCCACAAAGGAGGTTGCCTCTCTGCAATGCTTTTGCTCCCAGCCTAGCCTCACACCCATCTCCTTCCACCGTCTGCCAGCACAGGCAACCTTGGGTTCTCCAGGAGTCCTGTTGGCTGGAGGCACCTATTTTCATAGGCCTGGAGCAAACCACAATGCCCCAGGTGTGGTAGATTCTCCTGCCTCTCTAGAGCCAGGACCCACTCCTAATGCCAGAAGACATTGCAGCTGCTTGGAGCCCATATGGTGGCCAGGCCCACCCTGTCCCCGCAGCCCACTGCCCTGTGTGGCTGGTTTTCCTGGCCTTGACGTCTCCTTCAATTCTAGCACACTGGGACCACTCTGGGCATTGCCATCTCCATTCAGTGCTGGAGGGCCCCAGGTCTGGCCCGCCAGGGATCCACAGGCACACGACTGCAACAGCTTCCCACCCACCTAGGGTGGGAAGCCTTCAGCACCTGCTGAGTCTGACCTGGGCAACAGTAGGCGCCGGGGGCTGTGGTTTATAGAAACCACCCGCCTGCTGGTGGGTTCAGAGGGTGGCTCACGGATGGCTCCTGAAAGCTGGCAGGGTGCCCAGGGATGCCTGTTAAGTCTCTCTGGGAGTCTAACAACTTGGCTTTTGGCCCGAAGCTCCCAGCATGATCCCAATCCACACTCCTCTTGATGCCCCATCCTAGCCTGTTGGGGCTCGAGTCAGGGTCAGGGACCTGAAGGAGAGCTGGCTGGAGGAGACCTGCCTCAGTCCTGGTAGGCGCCCGGTGCACCTGAGTGCTGGCTCTAAATGCCTTGCATTCCTTCTATTACCCCAAACAGGAGCCTGGCCCTGCTTCGTGTGAGAACAGGCACAGCCGCACAGCTGTGAAGCCCAACACCAGTGTTTCCCGAGGAGGACAGGCAGCTGTTCCTGGCTCAGGACACGCAGCGATCCACTTGGCACCTGGCAGCTTTTTTTTTTTTTTTTTTTTTGAGATGGAGTCTCAATCTGTCACCCAGGCTGGAGTCCAGTGGCACGATCTCAGTTCACTGCAACCTCCGCCTCCCAGACTCAAGCGATTCTCCTGCCTCAGCCTCCCGAGTGGTTGGGATTACAGGTGCCTGCCACCACGCCTGGATAATGTTTGTATTTTTAACACAGACAGGGTTTCACTATCTTGGTCAGGCTGGTCTTGAAAATCCTGACTTCAGGTGATCCACCTGCCTTGGTCTCCCAAAGTGCTGGGATTACAGGCGTGAGCCACCGCACTCGGCCTGCACCCAGCAGCTTTTGTTGAGTTAGGAGTAATCACAGGCCTGCCTTGTTGCTGATTTGCAGGTAGCACCTGGTACACGCCCAAGACAGACAGCACCATCTACACTGTTGAGGCCAGGACCCTCCACCCTAACCCTGCAGCACCACATCAGGAGGCACTGACCAGAACGTCCCCTGCCAGAGCCAGCCAGGACATTTTGGTTACTGACACTTAAGTGCCCAGAAAAGGTGAGAGGGTGTGGCCTGACCAATGCTGTCAATGGGAAAAGGGTGGCCTGGACTGGACTGGAGGCTGGGAACAGGTGACGAGGACAGGTCCCGGGCGGGCTCTGAGCTGCCTTTGAGCTTCCAGCGCAGTGCTTCCCACCATGGTTCTGGCTCTCCCTGAACTTCACTACTCACACTACTTTCTAAGTTAGCTGCTACCTGTCTGTGATCACTGCCTCTTGGAAGCATATCCTGACCCCCTCGAGGTGGATCAGGTGCCTCCCCTGGGCCCCTAGCTTCCCCACCTAGCGAGAAGTCACCTAGCATTGTCGTGCTCCTGACTCTAAGTTCTAAGAGGGACCAGAGGGGCCTTATTCTGGGCGATCTCGACTCACAAGCAAGACAGACACCTGATAAACACGCTGCAGAAAGCACCAATGACCCTTCCAGGTCCCCCTCCAAACAGCCAGACTTTGAGGCTCAGCTCTGAACCCACTGCAGCCTAAAGCATGAGTTAACCCTTCTGGCTTCCTGAGGACAAAACTACAGGCCCAGCACCAGCCTCCCTAGAGTCCATAGGTGAGGGCCACTTACCGGTTGAGTAGGGGTCCGACTTGTGGTGCCGGGGTGAATGGTGGTGCTGGATGACTTGCTGAGGCTTGGCAGGCTGCGGTGGGGGTGGCTGCTGGCCTGGGGGCTGGTGGGGGGGCTGCTGGCCCTGGGAGGGA